GGGGTGGGTGTATGAGGATACACAGGTGGGGTGGGTGTATGAGGGTACACAGGTGAGGTGGGTATATGAGGGACACAGGTGGGGTGGGTGTATGAAGGGCACAGGTGGGGTGGGTGTATGAGTGACAAAGGTGAGGTGGGTGTATGAGGGACACAGGCAGACGGAGTTGAACAGGAGGGGGTGAGTAAGAGCGATTTGGTGGCCAGGACAAGAGGAGGCTGACTGAAACAGGCAGATGTAGTGGTCAGGGTTTGTGACTGTGACTGGCAGAGCCCAGACGCCAGCTCCTCCTCCCCGTGCCCCCACCCATGCCTCTTTTTTGCAGACCCCTTCCTCTTCGGGAGCCCCAAGTGTACACAGGAGCTTCCTCTTTCTCATCACATCCTCCCTAGGTCTGGGGGGAGCTGGCAGCCACTCATTGTCCTGTTTCCTCTCTCGGAGTTACTCCTGGCCAGGCGAGGGAAGTTTGCATAGCAGCTGCTGCAGTGCCCATCCCACCTGGGCTCACCTCCCTACACCCCTTCCCTGGGGGTCTAACATGCATGGCCCTCTGTGGAGCGTGCATGAGGGGGCTGTGTCTATGGCCTGTGGCTCAGAACTGGACTCGACAGACCACTGACCAACTAGTGTGCCCCACATAAAAAAAACCCCAAACTCCACAAAAACCACGAACATAAGTCGTTGAGTGGATTCCAACTCTTAGCAACCCCGAAGGACTGACTAAATTGCTTCATAGGGTTCCAGGCTGCCATCTTTTTAGAAGCTGCTGTTGTATCTTTTTCCCATGGAGCACGCAATGGGTTCAAATCCAGTTAGCAACAGAATGCTTGCCCGGTGCACCACCAGGACACCAAGGAAGCATGAAAACACCCCTGACCGGAGGCACCCCCACCCCAAGATCTCTGTCTCAGGCAGCACTTCCGCAGCCCTGACAGGAAACGGGCTGGAGGCACAGCCTCGCGCCATCTCGAGACAACTTCTTGTTTCTTGTTGCCCGGTACCAGCCCTGGGTTGTGCCCCTTGACTCCACCCCCATAGACCTTCCCACGGCCCTGTCCCCTGGACAGAGGGGACAGGATGGTGGACATGATTGCCAAGCTGACCAGGAGGGAGAGTCGAGCCCTCCGGGCACAGGTAGGAAAGCCCAGCTTTAGGGGAGAGTTACGGTTCTATTGAGGGTCACCAAGGGGAATATAGGGACAAGGAGACCTTTGTGGCCCTCCATTCTCCAGCCCTGAGGTGAGCTGAGGTCTGGAGCAGGGCGTCTCATGGTGCTGGAACTTCTAACCTCTCCTTCTCTGAAGTCCTGCTCTTCTGAGAAGGGGGGATGCTGAAAGGGAGTGGGCAGCTGGGGGAGGCAGGGCTACCACCTCCTCTTGGACATGTGGAGGAAATGGAGACAAGGGGAGCCCTGCCCTCAGGATGTGCTGGGGACCCAGCAGCTGGGTGTGTCGCAGCCAGACCCCTCTTGTCTCTGTCCTTTCCTCTGAGGTGGAAGGCCACTTCCTCTTTTCCACTACCCGTGTCCCTTACGTCTCTTGGAGAGAACTGGAGTCTGGGACCCAGGAGCCCTTGGTAAAAGGTGAAAGATTTATACGATCTGAAGAGAAACAAGAGTATCCAGGAGCCCTTGGTACCTGAGTTAGGCTCCTGTCGCTGAGCTGTGTTTGGGTTTGCTGACGCCTCCTGTACATATCGTGTGTGTGTGTGTGTGTGTGTGTGTGTGTGTGTGTGTGTGTGTGTGTGTGTTCCACTGTAACCGGCTGAGTTTTCTCTCCAGTCAGAGGTGTGGGCTGACCTGGCCGCACCTGACACTAGAGCTGCTCAGATGGGTCGAAGGGCTGGCTGAGAGGAAAAGGCCTCCGTCCTGGCCTGTGGGGACTCTGCAGAGATTTCTGGGTCTGAAGGGGCATCTGGGCTGCAGCAGTCTGGCTCCCCCCACAGGGCTACACTTCTTGCAGCTGCTTTCCAGACTTCTGCTTGCTCACCTCTGCTCCCTACTGTCTCCCCAATCTTTAGAATGTGCTAATTTTAAAGGGGTGCTACCCTGCCCCCATTTGACTTGCAGTCTGGTACCCATGGTGTAGCCCTGAATCTTTTCCTGTGAAGGCCCTGTCACACTAGTCTCTATTCATCTTCTCTCTACCTGCTGGGAGGAAGGGGTTCTGTGTGTAAGATCCCAGTCAGCACCATGGACCAGGGATGCCCTCTGGACTCAAAGCCTGACTGCTTCATTGGCTGCTCAACTCCCTGTGGGGTGAGCAGGGCCTCAGTGGGTCCACCTGGGGTGGGTAGAGGTGCATCTGGTTTATCCTCCTCCCTCCACCTCCCTGCCCCCATCCCAAGGAGGCCAGAATCTGCATTCCAGAAAGTTCTTCCTCCAATCTAACCATACCCTCTCTCCAGTATCAGATGTGCCTGTATGCTTGTTGCTGAAGTTTGCCACCATAAGTGACTTGGCTCAGTGAGTGTTTGGGTGGCTCTTCTATGGGCTACAGGGCACTGGAGCACCTGCTGGAGTGTGCAATGGAGGGTCAGTTGGTCTTGCTCTCCTTTTGGGATGGAGAAAAGAGGCAAATGGGTGGACAGCTTGCCAGATGCCAAGGTGGAATGCCACTGGACCCGACCCATGGGCAGCAGAGGCCCAGAAAGTTAGGTGTCTCTTAGGGAGGAAGACCCACCTAGGAGACACTGGTGAAACGGGCAGGGTTTGGGTAGGAATGAAGACTGGGCATTCTAGGCTGCAGGGACAACAGGAACAGACACATCAGGTCTGGTGTGGTTGGAATTCTAGATGCCACATGAACCTATAGCAGGAAAAGAGAAAAGAGACGTGGCATAGAGGGTCCTGCCTCCACCATAGGAGCATGCGTGGGGTGTGTCCCCAGCTATCTCTGCCCCCCTGTGCCTGGGAAGGGGCAGCCCTTCAGCCTCCTTCTTCGCCTGGGTTTTGGTTTTCCTCCTTTACGTACAGTGATAACAAAATCATCACTGAGCTGCTAGCTATTCTCGCCTTTCTTACCTTCCTGTTTTCCCTCTTCCCACCACAGACACACAGGCACGAGTATGGGCTCTCCCAGGGCAGGGATCTGGGTCTCTCTGTTCACTGCTGCACTCCCAGTGTCTGCAGCAGTGAATCTTTGCTGGATGAATGAAGGTTTTCTTAGGTGCCTACTTAAGGGCCTTGAGAAAGGCATGATTTCCTCTCAAGGAGCTGACAGCTTAATGAAGGGGTCACAGTTGACAGAGAAACTTCTGCATTTTTTGTTTTTTAACTTTTATTGTACAAGATTTTAAGGTTGCAGGAAAGTTTAAAGAAAATTTTAAAAAACCAAATTCCACTCCTATAATATTGCCAGAGATGACCACTATTAGCATGTTGTAAGTTCTTATAAAACCAGGCACTAGAATTGCGCTATGTTTATCATTCTGATATTTTCTTTTCCCCTGGAGTATTATATATTCTTGGGAAATAAAATTAAGCCCCTGTTGTTGTTGTTATTTATCTCTGAGTCGGAACCAACCCATAGTTGACCCTCCAGCAGGTTTTCGGAAGCAGTTAATTGAACCAGAGGAGAGTGCCCATCCTTCTCCTACAGAACAGCTGGTGGATTTGAACCACGTGCCTTTGGGATTGCAGCACAGCTTCTTATCACTAAAGTAAACCATCAGAGCTCCATTCTGTTGTTCAGGTTCTGATAATGTCATTTCCTCTCCTTCTGGTGAGGGTGTCAGACTGGGTATGAGGGTCACTCGGGAGGGATGTCCCTGGTCACCTTCCCAGGTCATGGAAAGAAGTTCTCAGGAAGATCTTTAACCTGGCACCCAAGCAGAGTCCTGAAGGAGGAATTGGAGTCAGCCAAATGAGAAAGGGGTGGGAAGGGCCTGCCAAGATTTGAATGAGCTGAGGCCTGGAGGAGACACACAGCTACTGGAACTTAAAGTTCAAGGCAAGGGGCAAGGAGTGGCAGGAAATAAGGCAAGAAGCACAGGCAGATTGATAGAACTTTCTTGAGTGAGCCCTGTTAAGGCTTTGACTTTGCCCTGCAGGCAGCTGGGAGCCATGTGGGAGTTAAGTGGGAGAGCACCACAGTGAGACTTAATCTTTGTGCAGCTGAACCTCCAGCCCCACTTGCCCTCTCTAAGGAGGAGAGAATCCTCACTCACTCTGCTCCTCAATCTTCACTCCCTCAGTCCCAACCTTTTTTTAAACTTTATTGTGGTTTAAGTGAAAGTTTACAAGGGCAAATTGGTTTTTCCACTCAACAATGTCTATGCATTTTTGTCTGATAGTGTTGTTTGCAATCCCCATAGTGTGACAACAGTGCTTCCCAACCCCTCACCATGTTCCTCATGTTTCACTCATCCCTTGTTCCTGCTCCTTTCCGTTTTCTGAGCTTTGTTTTGGGGCAAATGCTCTGTCTCCTGTTGTTGATTGTTCTGTGGAGTGGATTTTTGCTTGCTGTTACTGTTTACTCTGCAGGCCTATTGTTTGGCTGCATGTTGATCTTTGGGATTGAGTTCCATTCAGGGGTTGAAGGGTGTCTCAAGGCCATAGTCTCTTTCAGACCAGCAAGTCTGGTCTTTCGTATGGTTTTGCGTTTTCTACATTTTTTTTTTTTCACTCTATCCAGAATCTTCTCTTGTGATCCCACTCAGAGCTGTGAGTGGTGCTAGCTGGGCATCATCTAGCCCTTCTGGTCTCTCAAGGCAGTGGGGTTGACATTCCAGAGGTCCAGGATTCTTTGAACTAGGCTTTCTAGTGTCTTTTGATTTCCTTCATTCTTCTTCTTTGTGCTTCAGACATCACCCAGTAACTTTCATTTCCCCTTCCCTTTCTCTGAAATTCATTCTGAAGCTGCAAACTCTGCATTGGGGAGGTTCCAGTCCTGGTTTTCTGGCCTGAGAGAGAAGACATGAGGCTCTCAATGGGAACCCCAAAATATGTACTTGGCTCTAGAATGGCAGAGCCCCGACTCCATGTGACTTAAAGGGGAGCAGGGGCACAGGAAGGCAGGCAAGAAGAAGTCCCGGGTCATTTCTCTGTCCTCTGAGTGCACAGCTGTGAGAGCTCCATTATCTTTGTTATTAATAATAAAGAGACTTGTTGGCTCAGTAGGTTAACTGTTGGGCTGCAAACCAAAAGGCCAGTAGTTTGAATATCACAGCCCCTTCACTGGAGAAAGATTTGCAGCCTCTGAAACCCCATAGAGGTGGCCACAGGCCAGAGTCCGCTTCATGGCAATTGGATGATACCTAATGCCATTAGTGCACGTCATATTTCACAAACCACTTTCCAGAACATTTCTTCTTTACTACAACTTCCAGAGGTGGTAATACTGAGTTTTAAAAGTTGGAGCTCCCAGATAATGTGACCTGCAGAAGGTGGCCCAGGTAACAAGAGTCTGGTCCAGAACCCATTTATATGTGACCTCAGGCTCCCTTAAAATCCTGTCTCTTTCCTCCCGCAGGCGGACGAGCCCTCGGAGCCCGTGTATGTGAACGTGGAGCGGCAGCCTTTGGCCACCTCGCCCCGCGCCTCAGCCCCCCGTCCCAGCTCTGTGTGGGAGACTCTCACCGACGCGGGCACCGGGCGCCCCTACTACTACAACCCAGACACGGGCGTGACCACCTGGGAGTCGCCCTTCGAGGCTGCGGAGGGCACTGCCAGCCCAACCATCTCCCCGGCCTCTGTGGGCAGCCGCGAGAGCCTCGAGGCTGAGTGGGGCCAATACTGGGATGAAAACAGCCGCAGAGTGTTCTTCTACAACTCGCTGACGGGAGAGACGGCCTGGGAGGACGAGATCCAGGACGAACAGGAGGACGAGCTGGAGATGCAACCCGGCCTGGGCCCTGGCGCCATGCGGGACCAGAGGGTGAGGGGCGGGACCTGGCTGGGAGGGCGGGGCCTGGAGGGGAGGGTGTGGCTTCTAGGGGGCTTCTGGCTCCGCCTGCACCCTCACGTACCAAGGGAGCAACGCTGGAGGGGCGGAGACCTCGTGGGGGCGGGGCTAAAAGTGGGAGGGGACTGAGCCCAGGCCCCCACCTGAACCAGGGACGGGGATGGGATGGTGGATGGGCGGGGCTTCTAGGGAAGACTCTGGCTCCGCCTCTGCCCTCCTTGTACCAGGGGAACACCACTGGAGGGGGCGGGGCCTGATGGGGCGGGGCTAGAGGAGAGGAGACGGCGCTCTGGCCCCACCTGGGACCAGAGGGTGAGGGGCGTGGCCGCTCCTGGGGTGGGCGGGCTTCTCGGGATCCCCTGACCCCGCCTCTGCCGCCCACACCCACCCAAGAAGAGCCTGGGGCGGAGCCTGGCGTGACAGGGCGTGATCAGGATGTGGCCTGTTTTAGCACCTCCCACTCCTCCTCGGTTCCTAACAGCCGCAGGGACTTGAGGGCGGGCGAGGGGATAATCCAGATCTGGGGCGGGCCAGGGGAGGCCAAGGACAGGTGAGGCTAGCTCTGAGAGCTTGACCCCATCTCCTACAGCCTCCCACCCCTGAGACTGACTACCCAGAATCACTGACCAGTTACCCGTCGGAAGACTATTCTCCAGCGGGCTCCCTCAACGACCTGAGCCCCGCGGGTCCCTTGGCCACACCTCCTGGCTGGTCTTGTCACATCAGCCCAGATGGCCAGACGCTGTACACCAACCACTTCACCCAAGAACAGGTAGGAACAGGTGGGCCCGGGCTTCCTACAGCCCATTCAGCTTTCTAGCCACACCAGCACTTTTCTCTCCAGCCCCCTTCCTCATCAGGGCCCTGCTCCAGACATTGTGACATGCCCTCCTTTTCCCTTAACACACTCAGATCCCCACAGCCCCAGCCAGCCCACGACACTACAGTCACCTGCACCCCTCCAAACACACTGGCACTATCTTGGATTCTGGGTGGAGAGAACCATTTCTTTCCCTCTCATGAGATGGGCCAGGACCCCTGACCATGTGCTCTCCACAGTGGGTGAGGCTGGAGGACCCGCATGGGAAGCCATACTTCTACAACCTAGAAGACACCTCTGTCCAGTGGGAGCTGCCCCAGGTAATTCACTGGGGAAAGGAGAGGACCAGGGAGAGAGAAGGATGCTAGCCAAGACAGTGCCTTTCTTCCTGGTGTCCTTGGGTGGAGCACGCAGTTAATGCCAGGCAACTAATGGGAAAGTTGAAGATTTCCACCCATAGAGAGCACAGAAGCAAAGCCTGGTGACATGCTTCTAAAGTCATACCATTCTCCTCCCACACAGAGGGTGTCACCGTGACCAAGAATTAATGCAACAATTTTTTTCCCCATTGATTTCCTCCCTAGGTCTCCTTCCCTGTCCCTCAAAATATCCGCAAGTCCAGTCAGGACAGTGACACTCCTGCCCAGGATAGTCCCCCTGAGGAGAAGGTAAGGGGACAGTGTAGGCTCTGGTGGAAACCCCACAGAAGAAATGAGGGGCTTCTGGGGGTCTTGGGAACAAGAATTGTGTCTAGTGTCTCTCTTCTTCCTCAAGGGGTCCAGCAATAAGCCGATCTGAATGGATCCAGGAGTCTGGGTCCACCCAGCCCCAGGTGGGGTGCAATTAAAAGTTGGGGACATATCTCCAGCTGCTGCTAAAGCTAACACCCCACTTTCCACCAACAGTCAGGCAGCTGTGTAGGACAAGGAGATTTCACAGGAGACTCAGGCCCAGCCAGTGGGGAGTTAGTTGATGGTGAAAGGCAGAGCACCCTCTTGCCAGTGTGGTACACCTCCCCTGTTTTCTTCTCTCAGATCAAGACGCTGGACAAGGCAGGCGTGCTCCATTGCACGAAGACTGTGGACAAGGGGAAGCGGCTCCGGTGAGAGCCCATTTGTATCCCGGGCTGGGTGGGACTTAACAATGCGGTTCACTGAGCAGCACAGTAAGATGTGTGCCAACCTCTTATTGATCTTCACAGCGAGTTCATAGAGATCCCATGAGCAAACTGGGGCCCTAAAAGATATCTAGCTCATAGCTTGGTTTCCCAGGCCCTGCTCTTGGAAGTAGTTGGCACTGGGAGGAGGCCTCAGCCCAGCATGGCCTCCAAGCCCTGCTCACCCCACACCCATCTAGGAAGAAGCACTGGAGTTCCTCCTGGACTGTGCTGGAAGGCGGCGTCCTGACATTCTTCAAAGACTCTAGGAACTCAGCTGCAAGCAGCCTGGTGAGGCCCAGGCCCCCAGAGTGGGGATCGCCCCATCTGCTCCTAACCCTGTGGGGCTTCATCTAATCAGTCTTGTAAAGGTCTGGGACAACAGCAGAGCATGAGTAGCAGAGAGCTGGCCTTGCAGGGAGGAGTAATGGTTCAGCCAACTTGGGGCTGGAGAGTAGTCCTGGGGGGGGCACTCCAGTTCTAGAGATGGGGCTGCACTCTTCTCTCCCTTCCCTTTCCTGGATGGGCAGCAGCAGTGGACAAGCCAACTGGTACACTCTGTGGCTAAAAAGCATCAGATCTATAGGTTCCAGGTCCTGGGCCTCTTCCCTGAGAACTACTGTCTGACTACCCTGAGCTCATCCTGTCCCTGGAGTGAGAAGGAGCCTCGTGGGGCAGAGCCAGGTGCTAGGAAGATCTGTCAGAGCAGAAGGCTCCCTGTAATGGTGCTCCCCGCCCTTCCTCCCTCTTCTTCAGAGGCAACCTTCCAAGTTCTCCACCCCAGAGTACACAGTGAAGCTGAAGGGGGCCTCTCTCGCCTGGGCTCCCAAAGACAAATCCAGCAAGAAGAACGTACTAGAGGTGAGTGGGGAGAATGAAGGAAGGGGTTTGCCGGTGGCCCTCTGGAAGAAGGGGAACCCGGGAGAGTTGGAGTTGACATTCTCAGAACTTAAGGCTCCTCAAGGACCCACAGGGTTTCTGGCATCGCAGTACTGCAGTTGCCTCTCCAGGAGCTGACTTTGCCAGTTCGTGGCCCTGAGAGTGGTGAGGATCTATGGAAAATGTGTCTCTGTCATGCCCAGTTATTCTTGGTCTGAAAGAGACAGGAGACTCCCCATTCCTGCTACTCACTCTGATAGGCCAGGCTGGGAAACCTGCTTTGGCCACTCATCACCTCGCTTCCAACTGCTCTGGGCCCCCAGTAAATAAACCAAAGCAGTGGATATGCTTGTTAGGCCCTTGCAGGAGGAAAAGAGAGGCCAGCGGGGCCCAGGCAAGGGTCCTTTGTGATGCCACGTCCTTCACTGTTCACATTTTATCTTGTTTTCTTTTCCATTTTATTGTGCTTCAGGTCAAAGCTTACAAAGTAAACTGGTTTTCCAATCAATAATTCTTACACACGGTTCTTGTGACTTTGGTTCCAGTCCACAGTGTGTTAGCACTGTCCCTGTTTCCTCCGGGGGTTCCCACTTCTTATCTTCTGTTGCCCTGTCTCTCCCTGCCTGCCTTTTCATCTTTGCTTCTGAATAAATGTTGCCCTTTTGGTCTCATGCAATTAATTGTGACAGGAACACCTTGTTCATGGGTGTCATTGCCTGTTACAGTCTTGACTGCTATTTGGCTGAAAGGTAGCCTCTGGGAGGGCTTTTAGTTTCAAGTTAGAAGGTTTTCTTGGTGCAGTAGCCTGGGTTCTCCCAGCTTCTTTAAGACCAGAAAGTGTCTGGTCTTTAAAATTTTATTGTATTTTTTAATCCACTCTCACTGGAACTTTCTAATTGTGGTCTTGGACAGAGTGGTAGGAAATACTAGACTAGTTCTTCTGGCCAAAGCTTAGAGGAGACTGTGATTTATGTGGGCTATTTTGTTAAACTATTTTTTCCTTTGAGTCATTGGTCTTCATTCTTTGCTCCAGGGGGCAAGACACCAATAATTGCTTCTTAGATGACTGTTCACAAGCCTCTAAAAACCCAGACACTACTTACTGGACTAAGTTGTAGGACATTGTGTCTGTGAACTGTGCTTTATCAATAGACCTAGAAGGCGCCCCAGCCTATGGTTGTCTTGTCTTGAGATTACACCTATCCTCCCTTAAATGCTAAAAACTAAGAGGCTGCTCACAACAGAAACCACAAAATATGTGGTGAAATCCAGTGAAAAATCAGGGCTAGGAAAAACAAATGAGAAGTGAAGGTGGAAAAGGTTCAGGGAGCAAAAATGTGCAGGTGATGGGGTTGTTGTTGAAAAAAAAGTAGTCTCTGATTTCCTGGTAGCCAGTGAAAAGAGAAAAGTGATCTCTTAGCTCTTGTTGAATAAAAGTAAAACCTATCCAGAGATGGAGGGAATCAAAGCTTTTTTCCTAGCCCTTTGCTCTTGAGAAAGTTTCTTGCATGCAGCTCCATGAATATGAAGTCTGGAGGGATGCGGCCAGTGCCCTGCAAAAGTATTCCATAGAGGTTTAGGGCTCTAGGGCTGCTTCAGGTAGGTCATCATGATGAAAGCCAAAAAGCACGAACTTTCATCTCCATTGAGGAGTCCTGCTGGCGTAGTGAGCTGGGCTGCCAATGGTTTGAAACCCACCAGCTATGCCTAGGGAGAAAGAGGAGCCAACCTCCTCCCATAAAGATTTACAGCCTCAGAAACTCACGGAGGGTCACAAGTCTCAGCAATGACTTGATGGTTAGGGGGTTATGTCTCCACTCGGGGGAAAAGAAAAAAAAACAAACAAAACCTACTTCTGCAAGGAGGCTGGCTGTCGTTTTTGAGAGTTGAGCAAGCAGATTATCCACAAAGCAGGGCTAGAAAACTGGTTTCACCAGCTAATCTAAACAGTTGGAGCCTTTTAAAGAAGCATTCTGGATCTTTCTTCAGGCATGACAGGGTAGTGTACTGTGATCAAATAGTAATGTCTATCATAAGAGTCAGATTGAGAGGAGGGACCTCACATTTGCTAGGCATGTTTCTTCTCCACCAGCTTTGTAATTGTCACTTCTCAGTAAAGTGACGGTCTATGAAGGTTCAGAGTAGATGCTTCCCAGTTGTCCTTTGTGGCACGAATTTGAAGGCCAGTAGTGCTCTTGAAAATTGCTCAAGCTGAAGGGAAGGCAGTCTTGAGTAGAATCAAGGGCTCCCTGCCTCTCAGCTGCCTAGGGGTGAGCTGCAGGCAGCATCAGGGTTTATCTTAAGTTGTCCTTGTTATGTGCCATTGAATCAGAACCAATTCATAGCTAACCCTCCGGTGGATTTTCAGAGGCTGTAAATCATATAAGAGAAGAGTGTCCATATTTCTCCCATGGAGCAGCTGGTGGATTCAAACCATGTGCGTTGTTGGGTTGGCACTGCAATGCTTTCCACTAAACTAAAGTTTTCAGATGTGAACTGATTATGTGTTTAGAGAGCAGTCAAAATATAATGGCCGTAAACTCAGAAGCACCATTCTTACATATTCTCTGGGATAGCAGAGTGTAGAGCTCTTGTCTCCTACATAAAATGAGGCTGTGTTAGCTATTGAAAGTTCTCTAGTCTGCAGTGGGAGGGGGGTGGTCAGGTGTGGCCAAGTAGATTTCAACTCTTATGGACTTCATGACAGAGTAAAATTGCCTCCTAGGATTTTCATAGCTGTATTATTTATGGAAAGATTGCCAGGTATTCCTGCAACAGAGCTGCTGGGTGGGTTTGAACCACCAACCTTTTAGTTCACACTCAAACACTTATTGTGCGAGCAGTAGAATGTTAAATTATTTTATTTGTTTTTAAAAGTTTTAAATCCATTTAAATAGCACTCTAGTACAATTTTAGAAGGAGAACAGCCAGAAGACAGTGCTCTTTGTTTCCGGAACCTGTTCTCTGTTGTGGAGACCATTTCTGCTGATTCTCAAACCTGCTCTCAAACTCACTGGACCCAGACACCAGGATTAGTGTGAGCTGCCATGCCAAACAGCCATGCTGAACTTGAACTCTCAGTCCTCCGAGCCAGAGGCTGAGGAGGGGGCCGTCTAAGTTGCACCCTTGCTCTTCAGAGAGTAGACATTCGGTAGCAGTTGGTGAAGAGTGACCGTGGAAACCTAGACTAGAGGTTTCTTAAGGAGTGTGGTCTGGATGGAGCGTCCAGCTGACTTACTTGGCTTTGCTTCCTCCAGCTCACACACCTTCACCAGTTCATCCACACTACACATTTCTTTAGGGTAAGGGCAAATAGGATGGTAAGCCCCAGCCTGCTGGTCTGAAAGGGCTTGGCTTTGAGTAGTCTGCCCTATCTATGGCAAACAGTTCTCCCTTGATGAACTGTTGCACTTAAGCTTCACGACAAAGTGAGCAGTAAGAGGAGGTAGCACCCAGCGGGGAGAGTGGGAATCCTGGCTGCAAAGGAAAGGACAGCGCTCTTAGGTCCTCAGGGTGGGGTGGAGGGGGGAGTTCTTATTTTCTCCAGGAGCCACTCTCAAAACCTTTCTCTCTGCATTTTCTTACTGTTGGTTCTAGCACCACATCAGGGCATCCCACGGGGAATGACTTTCCCTCAGTGAAAGCCAGAGCCCTGGGTGAGGCCACTCAGTGGGAAGCAGGATGGAGGAGCAGGGGGAGGTGAGGCAGACAGTGAGCCTTGCAGACCTGCACCAGATCCTAGCTCCATTGCTTAACTCGCTGTGCCCAGGAGGAAGCTGCTTGGTCATCAGCCTCTGTTCATCTGTAAACCAGAGATGCTGCCACCTACTGCTTTAAATGTGATGAATTCCTGTGCCTAGGGGGAGGTCTGCCTCCGTTAGGCTCTGCGTTCCTGGGTGCAGGGATGGGTCCCCTTCATCTCTGGATCCTCTCTAGGATCTAGCTCTGGAGCAGGTCCAGGAACCAGAAATGACCCCAGGATTTGTGTCTCTTTAGCTGCGAAGCCATGATGGCTCGGAGTACCTGATTCAACACAACTCAGAGGCCATCATCAGTACCTGGCATAAGGCCATTGCCCAGGGCATCCAGGAGCTGGTAGGTGGAGGCCAGGGCTTCTAGGGCTGGTGGAGAGGGGTAGCCAGCCAGAGTGCAGGCAGCTGTGCCCATTGTGATAGGTGACAAGGGGAAAGTCTGTGACACCAATGGCTAAATACCCTCCCTACAAATAGTCCCCTTACTGCT